GTAAGGGTTTCAAGTATTTTCATTTTGCATGAATGCTCGTCCTGACAGTCTGCGTATAGTGCTAAAAACATACTCAAGTAAATTTAATACATTTAATAGTCTGTCTTTTTCACCTGGGAAAGCATATTTACACTGTCTGAATTGTTCTGTGTCCCCTATATAGTCCCCATCATGTGCCATTCACCATTATATAAAAAAGAAAAAAATGTAAATGTGTGAGCAAGGGACGGATTTTAGCCGCAGCGTCAAATTCTAGAGAGCATTGGACTGGACAGAAAATCAGATGAGAAGATGAAGTGCAGTGACGTTATCAAAATCATTGATCCATATTGGCCGAGTGAGAGACTAGGTTTTAAATGCTTGTAACTTCCGAATGCGAATGTTTTCATTGCTTTGGAGCACACTAGCTTATATTGTAGAATAGATAACAGTAAGGCTAACAAATTTATACTAAAACCCAAAAAATATATATATTTTGATTTCATGGGGACTTTAAAGGATGGCACTATGTTCACCAAATCTAAAGAAATAGCTTTCTCTAGATTTTATGAAAATGGACAGGAGTTTCATTCATTCAGTTGTAATGTACTCTATAATAAAGAACACACAGGCACTGTTTTTAATAACAGTAGTTGAGTGTCTGTGCCGCCCTGCACAAACAGGAAAGAGAAAAGATAAGAGAACAGAGCATTAACTGTCCAACAACTACATCACCGTCCACACAAACATTCACGAAACAACCATATCATCACCCATCCCTTTCTCAATAATTGTTAGTTCACATAGTACACTGACACAATGCCAGTGCCAGATGAATCACTCAAGGTTTACACTGACACAAATAATACATAAATCACTTCTCTATAAACATTAGGACAATACGTTTAGGTCAATCCATAACCACCCAATTATTAAAGCAAATGCAAATCCGACTAACCACAGCGTCAAATCTAGATTTAATTACAAGGTAAAATATAAAATCACTTTTTGAAGTTCAGCTCAAGACATAAAATGCAATGCATATCAGGCCTGTGTATCTGGTGGTGGATGCAAGGATTCACTTAAAGTCAACATGAAATCAAAATATACCAATTTTCATAGTCTTATTGTGAAGAATTCATCAGTGCACATAATGTCAAAGAGATAAAAACTTTTTTTTCATCAAAACCTAATAACTTGACTTAATTTAACCAAGGCCTAAAAAAAAAAAAAGTTTGGTTCCGGTTGGTTGTCAGTTGAGGTCATGGGTCGGTAGGGAAATTTTTTTTTTTTTTTTTTTTTTTTTTTTTTTTTTTTTCAGTGGCAGCAAGGGATGGGTAGGAAATTCAAGGGATAGTTCACAAAATTATTTTTGATATGTTTTAGCTTACCTCAAGGGATAGATGTAGGTGTTTTTGTTTCTGCAGTATTTTCAATTTTGATATTTTTTGGTCAAAACTAAAAATATCAAAGTGAACTATCCCCTCAAGCCTTTTCACGTGCTTGTCCTCCAGACAAGTAAGTAAATCTGTCAATCACTTGTCTGAGTAAAAAGTTGCTTGTCCGGATTTTTTAAATTTATTTATTTTTTATACTGAAGCAATATTCTCATCAGTGTTCAATCAGCTTTGATATTTAAAAAGGCATATTGTAATATCTGCACCTTTAAGAGCGTCTCCTCTACCAATATTATTAAATGCCCTATAGTGTCTTATTATTCTAAATAATTGAATTTATTGATCAAATTTAGGAATTTAAAATAAAAGATGAAGCATACTGTTACCCTAGGTAGGGCTGATCAAATTAAATCTACAATGAAAAATTAAAATTTCATAAAATAATGTTATGAAATTGATTTAAATGTGCAAATAAGAAATATTGGAAAGAATTATACTAGGCTACTTATAAACATAACACTAAACTGCCAATAGGTGGCGGCAGGTGGCCGTATTAATGAGTGAGTTATTGATTCATTAATTCAAACGATTCGTTCAAACGGTTGATTCATTCAAGAATGAGACAGATGTTGATGTTTATGAATGGGTCATTGAATCTTTGACTCAACCGATTCGTTCAAAATGCTGAATCATTCAGTAATGAAAACAGGATGAGTTCCTGTGAGATTCGTCGTGGTTCTGCTGTGACTTTTCTTTGGAACTATTTTCGCTGCTGAAATGGAACAAAAACACCCAATATTGCTTATAAACAGTAAGTGACTTAATCTTAACTGTTTATTGAACTGTTGTAGGAAATCAATGTCACTTTTTCAATCATGATGGTATTCAGGAAAAATAATTGAGGCTGCTTAGTGCTTAACATATGTTAAAATATAAAAACTCCACATTTAGATTTTTTATAGGCAGAGTATGTTGTTAACTGTGTGTGTGTGTGTGCTCCGCTCATGGGTGTAGATTTCTCTGCGCGAGCGTCAACAGCGCAAATTTACCATCAGTAATACAGTAGCTGCTGCCTGCTACATTTATTATCCACAATCGATCGCAACTTGCAATAAATGTAATACAATCAGAATCATTCTCTCGGTTTAGTGATTCCCTAGTTATTTTTTTGTTTGTTATTGATGTTCTAATCGGGCTACTTGTCCGTTGGGGCGAGTAAAATTCTCTTTTACTTGTCCTTCAAAAATCCATTTGTCCCGGAAAAGCGGACAAGTTAGACGGGCTCTGGAGATACGAACCGCGGCAGGTTAGAGTGTTTTGGATTGCATAAAATAATGAAAGAAACGAACAAATACATGGCGAAAGAAGTGATAGACAGCAGAAGATGGGATTGGGATCATGATTGGAATTTTTGGGATGATTTTTAATAAAACTAGGCGGATGGAGGTATTAGTATGTGGTGTGTACATGCCTATGAATGCATGTATTTGTATGTGTGCGAATATGAATAAAAATATCCTAAATTACAACAAAAAAAAAGACTTGTATAGTATGTACAGTATTAAAGTTCAGTTTGACGAACGATATCTGCCTCGTTTGTTAATAGATTGCTGGAGGACAAGATGCATCTTGCATCGCGTGCTATAAAAAGACGGAGCTGTACAAAAACGTAAATTTATAGTTCGCCTCAAATTTTTTTATTTGTGTATTTATTTAATTTTTATTATTTCTTCCCCAAGCTCATAAAATAATTTTGGGTCGCACATAAATTGACAGGGTCGGTCGGAAACCGGAAACAAACAATTTTTTTTTTTACGCCCAATAGGTGTCTGTGGACTGCTTCTCATAACCTGATCAATTCCAGTCCCACCCTAAACGATGTCCTTGAACAGGGTATATACAGATACTTCAAATTAATTGAATATACTTTAATACCGTCACAATATTTTTTTAATACCAGCACGACTTCAAGGTGCAACTGTAGTGACGTAAAGGGAAATGTAACGTAATGAAATATCTTCAAAAACTTGCATTTACGCATAATGTCCAAGGTTTTTCCTTGTTCTTCGGTGGTGGCCGACAGACACTTATCCTTTCTTGCCCTCGTTTTTTTTTTTAAAGCTTTGATTTTACCACTTGATTTCATAGCTTTGTAACAAAATCCTTCTTTGCAGGACCTGATAATGGTTTAGGTATATAATCATATTAATTTCAAAATGTAAAATAAAAACAAAGCATTAAAAAGTTTATTTTAACTAAGTCTAATTTGTTTTACCATATACTGTAAAATTGAATAGAATTAGCTGCCAGATTAAAAGAATAAAATAAATAAATAGATGCTAGATAACTTGCTTTGCACTTTTTTTTCTGGTTTCGACTCACTCCAGTCTAAACTAAATTATTTTTCAAGTTTTTTGGCAAGGTTTCTACTAGGGTTGGGTATCGTTTGAATTTGAACGATTCTGATTCCGATTCCGATTCCTTGTTTCGATTCCGGTTCCTAACAATTCGCGATTCCGATTCTTCTAAGAGGCAGAGTCAAAAAAGTTTAGCTAACCTTGCTAACCAACGGCCTTTCTGGAGGAAATAATCCTTTCTGAAGAAAATACTCCGTCTGTAAAAATACTCCTTTTGTCACAAATTTTGCATTTTGCCGAGATTTTGTTATTTTTAGAAAAGTGAAGCCCACACTTTGGATCGCCGACGTAAGGTACTCATGTTCGACTCGCGTGGTTATGCCAACACTTCGGTAGATGCTTCTTCGTTGGTGTTGTTCAGCGGTTTCTTCTTCCGCTCGGCGGACTGTGAATGTCGAAACTAGGAATCGAAATTTTAACTTTTGAACGATTCCGGGAAAAACGAAAAGTTAGTCCCGGTTCCAATCGATACTCGATTCTCGATACCCAACCCTAGTTTCTACGCATTATAATAAAAATAACCTGAAAATACTACATGGTTTACAACATACATGAATTGTTTGTTCATGTTGCTTCACAATGCATTAATATAAACAAATACAACTTTTGATTTCAATAATGTAGGCAAGTAAATGGTGAAATTAACATTAAGAAACATTCATTAATGCTGTAGACGTGCTGTTTATTAATAGTTCATGTAGTTAACAAGATTTTAATAAATGGAACCATATTGTTTTACCGATTCAGAAGTCCCATGAGGACAGATCAGTTGTTTTAACCATTAATTAAAGTGATGTGTCATTAGCAGACGTGTACACATTGTGTGGTTATCCCATCGCATAAATTTGTGTCAACAAATAGTTTTTTTTAGGATAGAATTCTTCATTTATTGAAAGTGTGGTTATGTCAGCTGAATGTGGGGAACGCTTTACAGAGAAGATAAGGCAACTTTTTTTTAACACAATTCACACACAGCGGGAAATAAATTTCCAATTGCGCCATGTGAAACTTTGACCTTTTACCATCGTGTACCTTTTAATACTTTTTCCAACCCCGCGGACACCCCGTTGAGCAACTCATTTCACATGTCACATTATGGACATAAAGTGGGTGCAAACGTCATTTTGTGCTGAATTTAAAAGATTTGGGTTGTTGAAATTCAATAGGACACATATTGTCCATCTTTAATGTGTTTTCTTCATCTTACCTTCACAGATGCGGTCCAGTCTCTGCCGCTTCACTTTGTGTTTGTCCATCAGAGCCATCGACTGGCAGTTCTTCGGTAAGACCAGCTACGGCCACAACACGATGAGGGAGAGAGAGGGCACAGCACAGCGTTCAGCCCAGAAACCACCCAAATCCTAAAAATAGCTGTGAAGATCAATTTCACAGGTTAAGATAGAGCAAAAGCACTTGGACAACCTATTCACACCATGGGGAAAACGTGCAAAGATAAAAATGTCATGCATTTTACCTGGTGTAAAATACCTTTGACTATTTAGTCTAGAAATGTTTCACAGTGAGGCTTCAACCACATAAATGACTTGATTCTTAAAAATAGTGCTGGGAAAATGTCAAATGAAACTACCCACCTGATGATGTCAAAGCCAATACACTACTCCGCTGACGTCACGGTCTTTATAATGGCAGCTGTAGGGGAGAACATCAAACAAGCATTAGTTATGGATAGAGCGTAGAAAACTGTCATTTTTACCCATTATTTAAGATACTGATAATATATTGTGGCGTTTGAAAGAGGATAAAGGCCCATATATGTCCACTAGCATTAACACCACTAGCATAAACCTTTTTAAACTCGCTTCTTAAAGACCATTTCGCTAAAAATAACCGTAAACGAACGAATGAGCGCGTTTTCAGCAACAAAATTATTTAGCACGTCACCTTGTTTTGAGCGCTCAGTTGAAACTTCGTGATTATTTACTTCAGTCTCAATTCGCTTAGTTAGTTCTCTCTCATGAGGCTCAATGAACAAACCTGTGACTGTGTAGAGTAGTTCAAGACAGGAAAAACTACAGAAGAGCACATAAATTGGGTTAAATATCCATAAATCCTGACAAGCGTCGTCGCCGCGTCTCGGTCGCGAGACTGCGCGCGGACAAGTCAGTGAGCGCGAGACCAACGGCTGCGGTCTCAAACAATCGCGTTTAACGGGAAAAAACTTGCGGTTTCGATGATTTTACCCGGTGCGTTGAAGTTTTGTCGCGTCCCTCGCTCGCTTCAAGTTCTCAAATTAGCGCTGAGCTAGCTAATTAGCACATGCAGCAAGACACAATGCAAATGACCACACAATTAACCTCCGAATCCAGTAACGTTACACAAAACACGCAAAGGAAAACACAAGAGCTTATTTGTGGTTTTGAATCGCTTTTATAACTATATTCGTCTCTGATAGCGTCGTTTCTCTGACTTTGAATGTACACACTGAGAAAGGCGCTTAGAGTGGTTGCTAACTGAGCTACCAAACATTAAACACACACAGAGAGAGAGAGAGTGTGAGAGATACAGTCATAATAACACACTGGAGTCTCACGGCACACACAATCGAGAGTCTGAGGTGCGTAATTTGTCAAATATAATCCAGAAGCAGGGTAACGCACCCCACTCACCCGAAAAAGCGTCTCTGGAGATTGATGTACGGGTCAGTGTGGTCACGGTAGGTGAATCAACTATTCCCCGCTATCAATCGCCATGAAATCTGCACAGAAAAGGAAGTCGAGGCCGCAAAGACAACGTGCTGTGGAAAGAGCGAGTATTCCGAGCAGAGACATAAGCGATGTACAGTAGAGCGCCTTCTACAGGTCAGTCTGTCATATTGCGGGATCATGCACTTCTTTTCTTTTCTTCATATTATATTTATAAGGCCATACTGGAGCTTGTTTTTGCCATGGAATACAAAAGTTTATTTCAAAAGTCTTGAAATGTAACAAAAACAATTTCTGAATTTCAAGATATAAATTCAGAATTGCAAGAAAGTCCAAACTCTGAGATTAAATGTAAAACTCAGAATTCCAAGAAAGTCGTCAAAACTTTGAGATATAAACTTAGAATCCTTTAAAAAAAAAATTCATTGTGAGATGTAAACTCAGAATTCCGAGAAAGTCAAAACTGCAAGATGTAAGCTCAGAAATCGTAAATTCAAAACTGTGAGAAGTGAACTTAGAATTCTTAATAAAAAAAAACACACACACGGAATTGTGATATGTAAACTGCGAATTCTAAAACTCAGAATTCTAATTGTGTCGTCTCTCCAGTTTATTTCTCAAAATTAAATAAATTAAATTGAATAAAAAATAAGAAAGGTATTTGTGAATCCTCAAAATTCTGATTTGTTTTTCTTACAATTGGCAAAACTAATGCTTGTGTGATTTAAATTCCATGGCGGAAACAAGCTTTCAAAATATGGAGATTGCTAAACTGGGGACAGAGGGGTAAGATGTGTCGGTAGTATCTACTGACACATCTTACCCCTCTGTCTATTTACTCACCCCCATGTCATCCAAGATGTCCATGTGTTTCTTTCTTCAGTCGAAAAGAAATGAAGGTTTTTGATGAAAACATTTCAGGATTTTTCTCCATATAATGGACTTCAGTGGGAACCAAACGATTCAAGGTCCAAAAAACAGTTTCAGTGCAAACTCTCCTGTTCAAACTCGTTCATCAAAATGGACAAATCTTTTTCCGAGTCATTTGGTTCATTCAACAAACAAAACGAACGAATTGGCTCGGAAAAAGATTTGTTCATTTTGATCGAACAACGAGTTTGAACAGGAGAGTCACAAACGCGGAGAGCAAGGTGAGCATTTGAGCTTATAAAACTTAAACTTTGTTATTTATTTTTTTTTTTTAAATGAGCGATCATTTCGCCTGATAAGACTTTTATTCATCGTCTGGAATCGTTTAAAGCCCTTTGAACAGTTTGCAGTTTGTACTGAAACTGTCTTTTGGACCTTGAACCGTTTGGTTCCCACAATTTCTTTTCACCTGAAGAAAGAATGACATGGACATCTTTGATGACATGGGGGTGAGTAAATTATCAGCAAGTGAACTCGAACTCGTTCATCAAAATGAGTTTCCTTCAACGAAAGAAATGAACGAATTGACTCGGAAAAAGATGTCTTTTGGACCTTGAACCGTTTGGTTCTCATTGAAGTCCATTATGGAGAAAATCCTGGAATGTTTTCATCAAAAACCTTAATTTCTTTTCACCTGAAGAAAGAAAGACATGGACATCTTGGATGACATGGGGGTGAGTAAATTATCAGCAAAAGTTTTTTGAAAAGTGAACTACTGCAGTTCATATAGGCTACCATTTATTCTTGTAAATTGTGTAAAACCATGTATGTTAATTTATTTAGCCATTAATTATTAACCAAAACACTTCCCCACAATGATAGCTGTGCCAGTGGGGTAAAATGTTTTATCAGATGTTTAAGAAAGACGCTTCTACGACAAAGCTAGAGATGGTAAGTATTGTATCCAAAAGCAGGAAATGCTTTTACAAAATCAAAAAAAAAAATCACATAATTAAGGACAATCAACAGTCATATACTTCATGCTCAGGGATATGATTTGATTCCAACACACAAAAAAAGGCTTATGTTGAGTACAATAGGATGTCCTTTATGGAGACAGAAGGAATTTCTCAGAGAAGTCTTGCCGCACACTAAAATGCTGTGTAAATGTCTAGTTTTATCGTAGAATAAACTGAACCTTTACAGAACAGAATTACCCAAATTAATTTTAACTTGTAAATGAATTAGCATACCACTTAAACCCTGAATATTTCTGCTCCTAAGTTGACGAACTAGAGCATTGATTGGCTCTATCTATTCCTTTTTGACTCAAAGGCCCCAATTTTCCCATTTTCTGCTTTAATTTTGACAACAATGAGGTGCATCAATTTTTGGTCCAGATCTTGTATTGACAATGCAAGAGTCCAGCACTCTGTAAAGTCTCCTCCAGCACATCCCAAAGACTTTCAGTGAATTTAAGGTCTGGACTCAGAGGAGCCAATTCATGTGTGACAATGATTCTTCATGATCCTCCCAAGCAACACACTACATCAGTTAGGTTTAGAAGAACTGTTGCCAAATATATAACATTATAGAAACATAATAATCACTGCAATGATCCAATCTTAGACTCGTAGCCCTCAATCGGGTCATGGGGTCTATACGACCCCAATCGACTTTTACTTAATAAAAAAAAGGTTCCCTTCATCTCAGTGGAATAGGATTTTGTGAATTTTTATACATTATCTATCTATACACACACACACAAAAAAAAACTTGGCTTGATTCGGTTGTTCTGAAGGTATCTAAAAAAATATGTTTACACTTCTGGTCTTTGGGGTCAATATGACACCACATTGAAATGAATGGGAAATGTGAAAAAACAAAACAAAATATATTTTCTTCATGTGTCTACCATAAATAGACATAAATCAGAATTTTTTTACACAGAAATGAAGGCCTAGTATTAGAGCATAAATGCAATGTATCATAAAAAAATAATATTTCATATGCAAGCTAATGGTGTAGTTTGTGTGGTATATGGATACAAAAGTACTTTATATCTCCAAAAACACAGCAATGATTAGATGAGAAGTAAACTAAAAAATGATATATTATTTGTATGATTAAAAATGTATATTTTTTTGTACAATTACTCAATCAATTGTTGGGGTGGTATAGACCCCGAAGCCCAGAAGTGTAAACAGGAAACGAAGACCATTTGAAGGTTAAGCATTTGCCTATTTAAATACAAACAGTCTCCAGGATAGATGGATAGAAACAGTTTTTTTTTTTTAGCATTATAATTAAGTTAAAATAACCCCCTTGATAGTTAGCTGAACCTGATTGAGAACCATTGACCAAAAGTAGAACTACCTGCAGATATAATGGCTGATTCAGTTTTCTTACATAACAAAATGGCAGCAGTATGAGATTAATAATAGAAACACTGGAACTCTGGCGCATCTAAATAACACTTGCTGTGCAGATGTAGATCTGTGTCGACTACAGCTTTTCTGAAGCATAAGGCTACCCCCAACACCCTTTACATCCTTGATACTAATATATTTTAAGTGCTTCAGTTAGTTCCTTAGTCTATACATCTTTCAGACTTAGACGGTCGCTTCCCCAATGCACACAAAACATCATAACAGAAGTCATTGTTGTGAAAGTATTTGAGCAACATTTAATACTTATACTTTCATGTTATTATCATCCACCATACGTAAACTCATTGTACGCAATAGTATTTTCAGTACTTTACCTTTATGCATTATCAGTCATCAATATTCATAATTTATATTCACATTTTCATCTGTATCATTATACAATGAAGTTGACCTGGAATCACTCAAAAGACAGTGAAACTGAGGAAATCAATCACATTTTCATGCCATGTTTTATCATCTCTTATGAATTGTTTCAGTCTTGACACACACACACACACACACACACACACACACACACACACACACACTCTCCAATTCCACTTGCAATCCTATCTTTATTATTTTGTAAAAGAAATAAAGAGTGATGAATCAATAAGAATAATAATTTAACATTGCAGAAAAAAACACAACCAATAAATTACTCCTTTAAACCCACATCTAGCATTGCTACAGTTACTTCTCTGTGAGAGACAGCTGTAGTATCCTTTCCAGCTCATCCTCCTCTTCCCTCCACTTCCTTTAGGGAACAAAAAGAGGAATGTTATTGGCTGATACAAATGAGAAGAAACATAACCTGTTCCAGTTTTATATTCATTTGAATAATCACGTTTATTCTCTATTACACACAGTGTTGTGCAAGTTACTTCCAAACTGTAATACATTAGGTATTACTTGTTACTGTTATTTAAAAGTAATTCATTACCTTACAATATTACTGTCCCAGAATTGTAATGCGTTACATTACTCATGTATTACTTTTGAGTTACTTTCACCAAAATAACTAAGTAGAACTTAACTTTGGGGCTGTAACGATATGCAATATGAAACCGAAATCGCGATTCGCCACACGACTCGATCAACGAACCTACAGAATCGCGACAAACCTCTTCCAACTCAAGCGTTATTCTCCTTACCGTCCATATCCAATGCTGCCTTATCTTTAAACTAGGCTATTAGTATTATTTAAAGTTAACATTATAAAATACGTAGACCTACACCACAAAACTAGTTGAGGATAAATTATTTAAAATTGGGGAAGTCCAGCATTATGGACATGACATTTGCAGTCAAAACGTGAAATAAAAATTCTCAGAAAAAACATGCATTGAAACGTATATAGGCTACTTCCTTAAAGGACTCCAGACATTAGACAAATATCAGTCTATGTTTTTTTTTAATATTAGGGAAAAGACACACATTCATGCGTGACAAAAAAATAGGAGGTAAAAATATTTTTGTAATTCTGTTAATTAGCTACACTGCGCAAATCGGATGAGGAAGGGCTGGCTCTCCAGTCTCCATAGAACTTAAAATATTCATTTTATTTTAGTTTTCGTGTTCGCATTTATGAGGAAAAAACAATGTTACAGACGCGACCGCTCTGAACTGGCACTAAAAGACTGCTTTAAAACGTTCACATAGTCTGTTGCCTTTAAGAAGTAAAAGCAGACAATACACTGTAATACAACTGTAATACAAGCCTCACTGAACATGTAACGAGTAAAATATTACTGAAAATTGATTAGTAATGCCTTACACTACTGCTTTACAGCAAAAAGTAATATGTTACTGTAATGTATTACTTTTGTAATGCGT